AGTGGGGTCAGGGGGAGGCGTCAGAGGGAGAGGTCAGGGGTCATAGGTCAGTGGGGTCAGGGGAAGGCATCAGGGGCCATGGCGCCGCCCTAGGAGGGCTGGTCCATTGGGGGTCATAGGTCAGGGGTCAGGGCCCTGACGCCTCTCCTGTTGCAGATGAGCGGGTGCAGGCCGACCTGCTGGACTTCCTGCTGTTCGGCGCCCTGATCTCGGCCGTGGATCCGGTGGCGGTTCTGGCCGTGTTCGAGGAGGTCCACGTCAACGAGATGCTGTTCATCATCGTGTTCGGGGAGTCGCTGCTCAACGACGCCGTCACCGTGGTGAGCAGACCAGAACCGGACCCCCAGCCCAGAACTGGACCTCTGGCTAAGAACCGGAACCGACTAAGAACAGGAAGCCCAGCCAAGAACCGGGCCTCTGGCCCAGTTGGTTTCAGAAACACGAAAAGGAAAGGTCCAGAACCGGTCCCAAAAACAGAACCTGAGTCAGACTTAGAGGAGACAGAGACTCTGATAACAGAACCTCTGATAGCAGAACCTCAGAACCTCTGATAGCAGAACCTCTGAGAACAGCCCCCCCCCTCTCCGGGCAAGCCTCTGCAGCTTCAGCCTGCAGTGACTCAGCCTGCGGTGACTCAGCCTACGGTGACTCAGCAGAATCTGCTCCGGTCGCCTCAGAGGAGGCAGCAGGACCTTCATGTAAAGACGCTCTGACTCGCCCTGCCTACTGGCATACGGCTGCTGCGTTGCCGGGGCGACAGAGAGGCTTAGCGGGTCGATAGCGTCCGCAGGCGGCGTGGGCCGAGAGCCGAGGGCGACCTTTGATTGTGTTTGCGGTGTTTGTGGTGCTGTGAGACAGCAGCAGTAAGAGGTTTAGCCAGGCCCAGAAGCTGGTGGGTTGGTCGGCCGGAGGTTCTGGGTCCAGCCCTGATGTGGGTTCTGAGGTCCGGGTCAGGCCCAGCAGAACCGCAGGCGGGTTCTCTGGCCTGAGGGACAGGAGAGGCTCAGAAAGCTGACATGAATCAGCTGAGAGCAGATTAACCTCTGCTGAGTAATCCTCCGCAGCACTCAGAATATGAGCTAATCCCACCAGAAGTGGAAAAAAACCAAAGGCTGGAATCCTGAAGGTGTGAGCTCAGGTCCCCGGAGAAAAGCTGTTTCCAGAAGAGGGTCAGCAGCATGCAGATGAACCGCCAGGGTCAAGGTCAGGGTGGGGTCAAGGGTCAGAGTCAGGGTCAGGGTGGGGTCAAGCGTCAGAGTAATGAACAGGTCAACGGTCTGAGTCAGGGTTAGGACACAGGGTCAGGGTGGGGTCAACGGTCAGGATAAGATCAAGGGGTGAGAGTCAGGGTTAGGATTAGGATCAAAGGTTAGGGTCAGGATCAAGGTTTAGGGATAGGATCAAAAGTCAGAGTCAGGATTTGGATCAAGGTTTAGGGTTAGGGTCAGATTTAGGGTCAAGGTTAGGATCAAGGGTCAAGGTTAATATCAATGTTTAGGGTTAGCTTAGGGACCCTTGATCCTAAACCTAAAGGTTGATCCTAACCCGGACCCTTGATACTAACCCTGACCCTATCCCTTAACATGACCCTGATCCTGGATCCTAACTCTGACCCTTGATCCTAACCCTTGATCTTAACCCTGACCCTTGATCCGAATCCTGAACCTTGATCTTAATCCTTGATCCTAACCCTTGATCCGAACCCTGACCCTTGATCCTAACCCTAACTGTAACCCCAACCCCTGACCCTTGATCCTAACCCTGACCCTTGACCCTGACCCACCTGAGCTTTTGCTGCCATCCGTCTGGATGCAAGAGCATCTGCTGGGCCCGGAGCTCTCCTGGTTTCTCAGTCTTTGGCCGGATTTAGTCTGAGGAGGGTGTTCTGCTTCTGCCGTCAGGTTTTGTACAAAGTCTACATCTCCTTCGTGGAGGTGGGAGCCGAGAATGTCCAGACGGCCGACTACTTCAAAGGCGTGGGTGAGTCTCCCGCCGGAGCGCCAATGGGCTGAGCTGGGGTGCTCACTGCTGCCCCCCTCTGCAGCCTCCTTCCTTATCGTCAGCATCGGGGGCACAATGGTGGGGCTGATCTTCGCCGTCATCCTCGGTTTCATCACTCGCTTTACCAAGAAGGTCCGAATCATCGAGCCGCTCTTTGTCTTCCTGATGGTGTACCTGGCCTACCTGACCGCGGAGCTCTTCTCGCTGTCCGCCATCCTGTCGTGAGTCTGTCCGCCGGGGCTTGGACGCCGTCCCACCCGGCACCCAGCTCCCCGCCATGTCTCTGCCCTCAGGATGACCTTCTGCGGCATCGGCGCCAACAAATACGTTGAGGCCAACATCTCCCAGAAGTCTCGGACCACCGTCAAGTACACAATGAAGACTCTGGCCAGCATCGCCGAGACCATCATCTTCATCTTTCTGGGGATCTCTGCGGTGGACAAGTCCAAGTGGGCCTGGGACACGGGCCTGGTCTCCTGCACCCTCGTCTTCATCTTCGTCTTCAGAGCTATGGGTCAGTGCTGGTTTTCCTAAGTTTATGTATTTAGCAGATTGTTTTATCCAAAGTGACTTACAAAGTAGACACAATATTCCAATTCTCATCAGTCTGACAATCAGATGTTTTGGGGGCTTTTAAAGCTGTTTTGTGGGGCTTTAAATCTGGTTTGGGGGACTTTTAAAGCTGTTTTTGGGGGCTTTAAAGCTGTTTTGGGGGGCTTTAAAGCTGGTTTCGGGGGGTTTTAAAGCTGTTTTGAGGTATGGGGTAGAGTTGGGATAGGAGATGATCTTGGAAGAGGTAGGTCTGTAGGAGTCTATGAAGACAGACAGGGACCTGCTGCTCTGGTAGGCCTGGTAGCTCCTTCCTCCATCTTGGAACAACAGCTGAAAAACAGTCTGATTGTCTTAACGTGGTGCAGCTCTGCTCCACAACCCGCTGATGACCGTAAGGACCAGCCGGGACATAAGCCTCTGAGAGGGTTCAGGTAGACGGGAGCCGAAATCTGAAGACCTCTGTTGGCATCAGGGACCTGGGTTTTATGGGGTAACCAGGGATAACCTTGAGTAACCAGGGATAACCAGGGGCATCCAGGGATAACCAGTGGTAACTGGGGGTAACCAGTGAACAGAGGGGGGTAGGGGAGACTTTCTGGGCTAATTGAAGACCAAACGCGTTGCTGCGTTCTGGATAGTTTGGAACGGCTTTACTGTCCAGGCTGGGAGAGTCAGGAGAAAACCACAGACTGACCGGGAACTGGGCAGCATGTTGGGTTAGGCTTGGCCGGATCTTATTTATGTTTAGTTGTGTGAAGCGACAAGATTGAGAAACAGAGGTAACATGATCTTTAAAGAGACCTTTGGCCTCCAGACCCTTAAAGCCCTGCCCCCCCAAATCCCAGATAATGTAAACAAGAATGTAAACAAGTAATGTAAACAAGAATCAACACATTTGTGGTACCTGTTCCCAGGTGTGGTCGGTCAGACCTGGGTTCTGAACCGCTTCCGGCTGGTCCCATTGGACAAGATAGACCAGGTGGTGATGTCGTACGGTGGCCTGCGGGGGGCAGTGGCATTTGCCCTGGTGGTGCTGCTGGACGGCCAGCAGGTCAGAGCCAAGGACTACTTTGTGGCCACGACCATCGTGGTGGTCTTCTTCACCGTCATGTTCCAGGTGGGAGGACGCCCGTCTCGGAAACCCCCCTGACCCTGAGAGGGGGCGGGGCCACGGGGTCCCTGACTCTGGCTGAGCCGGTTCCTGCTCTGGTTTCAGGGTCTGACAATCAAGCCGCTGGTGAATTGGCTCAAAGTTCCTCGTGCCACCAACCGGAAGCCAACCATCAACGAGGAGATCCACGAGAGGGTGACCCTTCTTTCCTGCTTCCCCGTCATGCTCCCAGACTCCCACAGGATCTCAGACCAGTTAACCCCAAAACCCCCCAGATGTGGAGCACACATCCCAGTCTGAGAGGGAAAGCTGGAGAAAGCTTTGTGTGGAGCTAAATTAGTCAGAATCAGGACCTTTCCTCATCATGGCAAAGGTCTAACATTTGAAAAGTGGTTTGGGAAGCGGCACAAGAAGGAGCGCAGCCTGAAAAAGGCAAGAGCTCCTGAGCCATGAACTGCTCCAGCTCTAGGTCCTGGGTCTGGGGTCTGGGTCTGGGTCTCTGTTTGGATCTGGGTCCTGGGTCTCTGTTTGATTCTGGGTCCAGGGTTTAGGTCCTGGGTCTCTGTTTGGTTCTGGGTCCTGGGTCTGGGCACTGGTTCTGGGTCCTGGCTCTGGATCAGGGTCTGGTCCTGGGTCTGGTCCTGGGTCTGGATCTGGGTCTGGTTCTGGGTCTGCGCCCTGGTTTTTGGTCCTGGGTCTGGATCAGGGTCTGGTCCTGGTCCTGGTCCTGGTCCTAGGTCTGGGTCTGGGTCTGGGCCCTTGGCCTGGGTCCTGGTTCTGGGTCCAGTCCGGAGGACTGAGCTCTGAGCAGGATGCTGGTGCTCCAGCAGAGTCCTGATAGATCAGAGTCAGACCAGTTCTCTGGTTTTAATGCTCTGAACTGGTTCCAGGCCTTTGACCACATCCTGACGGCCGTGGAAGACATTGCTGGGCTGCAGGGCTACCACCACTGGAGAGACAAGTGAGTCCCGGGTTCAGCAGAACCTCCCACCAGAACCTCCCAGAACCGCTCAGAACCCTGTCTGTGGGTCCAGGTGGGAGCAGTTTGATAAGAACTACCTGAGCAAGCTGCTGCTCCGGAAGTCTGTGTACCGCAAGAGCGAGCTATGGGAGGCGTACCAGAAGATCAACATCCGGGACGCCATCAGCGTCATCGACCAGGTAGGAGAACCCGGTACCAGAACCAGAACCGAGCCGGGTCACAGGAACACAGGCCGGATGGGAGACACATCTGTTCCCCCACGGATCCAGATGGATCAGTTTCAAAGGGATTGGTTCCACATGGATCGAATCCAGATGGATCGGTTCCAGAAGGATTGATTCCAGATGGATCGGTTCCATATGGATCAGTTCCAGATGGATCGGTTATAGACAGATCGGTTCCACGTGGATCAGTTCCTCTGCTCTAACTGCTGACGGTTTTCTCTGAGCAGGGGGGGAACGTCCTGACCTCGGCCCGGTTGTCTCTGCCCTCCATGGCCAGCAGAGCCTCCTTCCCTGAAGTCACCAACGTCACAAACTACCTGTGAGTTCAGTTTTTCTGGTGTGTCCAGAGGATCTGGAGCCAGCAGACTCTGGCTGGGGTCTGGTTCCTGGGCCTGGTCCTGGGTCCTGTGTCTGGGTCCTGGTTTCTGGTTGCTGGTCCTGGTCCTGGTTCTGGGTCCTGGTTCTGGGTCCTGGTTCCTCAGCTTCCTGCTCTGTTTCAGGCGTGAGAACGGCAGTGGCGTCTGTCTGGACCTGCAGGTGATCGACAACGTGCCCGGCGCCAAAGTGGAGGAGGAGAGCGAGACGCACCACGTCCTGGCCGGGAACCTGTACAAGCCCCGGAGACGGGTACCGGCCCCCGGGGGGCTCAGGGGGGCGGCCTAGATGAGTACCGGCCTGTGGGGGATCGGCTTAGGGGGTCTACCTAGACGGGTACCGGGGTTCTGGGGGGGCCTCCGGGGGTCTTAGTGGGTCGGTCTATATGGGTACCGGTCTCCCAGGGGGTTGGGGGGATCTGCTGCCCCCATCTGACCCCCATGTGCTGTCCCCAGTACCAGTCCCACTACAGCCGGCACTTCATGCCCCTGGGGGAGCAGGAGCGCCAGGACCGAGAGGTGTTCCAGAGGAATATGAGGAGCCGCATGGAGAACTTCAAGTCTACCCGCTACAAGAGGCACAAGAAGGAGCGCAGCCTGAAGAAGGCAAGAGCCCCTGGTCCTGCGTTTGGGTCCTGGGTCTGGGTCATGGTCCTGGTTACTGGGTTTTGAGTCTAGTTCCTGGGTCTGAGTCCTGGTCCTGTGTCTGGGTCCTGGTCCTGGTCCTGGGTCTGGGTCTTGTTCTGGGTTTGGTTCTCGTCATGGTTCTGGTCCTGGTCTAAGCGGTTTGTTCTCCTCAGCGCCGAGCGTCAGACACCAAAGAGGACGGAGACAAACCCCGACGCAACGTCAGTTGGCAGGACAAAGGTACCGAGGGAAGGTGGGGGGCACACAGCACGGGGGGGGGATCATGGGAGGATCGTGGGGCCCTTAGGGGAGTCTTGGGGCCCCTGGTGCTGACCAGCTGCTGTGTCTCAGACCCGGTGGTCGTCCCCGTGGAGCCGGAGGAGGACAAAGCTGATCCGGAGGAGGACGAGGGCATCACCTTTGTGGCCCGCAGGCCAGAGACGCCCAGGCAGCGGCCGCAGTCAGGTAGGGAGCACCTGACCGGTCGCCTGAC